TGTCTTTAGGGCAAAGGGAGTTAATTCCCTACATTTGTGTAGCACTTCACAGTTTACAAAACACTTTTTTTTTTTAAGGGACTGCTAAATTAGAAATTTCAACACAGATACCAAGATATGTTCATGAAATTCCACTCTGAAGTTCCAGGCCCACGAGTACATTTGTAAAAGAAACATTTTGCAACCTGTTTTGTGGTTCTAAAAAGCCCTAACCCACATTCAAAATAGAAGAGTCAAAAGTATGGAAATTAAGGGAGAGTTTCTAAGGAAGGTTTCTTGGGAGCACAGTGTCCCCCTTCTCACATGTAACACAGAGGGATGAGTGATGGTGATGTGGGCAAGTCAGGAGAGAGGGGCTTCAAAAGGGCTGTTCAGGAAGCCTGGCATGTGCCCCTACAGTTAGGAGGGGATATATGTGTGACTCCTGCCTGGAAAAGCTAGAAGAGCAGAAGCTGAAGGAGAGGTGGGAAGGTGGTGGGGACTGTGCTAGACTGGCCTGCACTCCCAGTGCTTGTCTGTCCAGGATCACGAGTGCTCCCTGTGGACAGATGCGAGCCACAAAGGGGAGAGCTGGCCTGAAGCCACTTAGATCCTGCCAGAGGACTGCCTGGAGCAGTGAAAGGAATCTCACAATGGAACATTTATGGAACAGACTGCTGAAAACCAGGATATGGGGAAAATGCACTGACTACACTACAAGTAAATAAAATGAAGAGGGTAGGCATGGCAGAAACTCACAGTGACCAGCAGAAAGAGTGAGCTTTAAACACTTACCAGGCACTGAAGCATGAAGCCATGTGTCACTATCAGCCAAGTAAGCACTATCCTGCCCCCTCTCTTTTCCTCTCCCTCTTTTCCTTCCTTTTCCAGCTTAGGCCCTGGAAGGATCAGGAACTATCAAGTAGAAACTTAAGTTAGACAGAGAGTTTCTAATTGTCAAAGGAACTAACTGGGAAAGGGAAACTGGGAAATTTAACTCAAATCAACTTTGAAGTTTTGATTACCTCATGGAATTGGCCATTCTACTCTGATAATTTCCAACTAAAAGTCACTGTAATAAAGTATATTACTTTAAATTAAGAGGAAAATCATAGGGCCACCCAAGTTTTCATTTTGGGGTAGGGAGGAGCTTCCTCTACTGAATACACTCTAATTGGAAAATAGAAAACAAAATAAAGATGCTTTCTGGTTAGACCCCATGAATCCTGTTTTCTTCAGTTCACTGGTTACTAGATGAGTTGAAAATCTTTCAGTCAGCGAATCATAGAAACCTCACAAGCTACCTTAACCCTAAAAGGGAATTTTGAGACTAAAAACAAAACAAAACAAAAAACTGCTGTAAACATAGGAGTTAGGTTTGCCTCAAAGAAAAACTAAATCAGAAACTTAGACCCCATCTGCCTTGCATCTCTGCCTTAGATTTGTTTGTCTTCATCAATTTGTGCTGCTATAACAAAATACGACAGAGTGGGCATTTTATAAAGCAAATTTATTTTCTCATAGTTCTGGAAACTGGGAGGCCCAAGATCAAGGCATTGGCAGGTCCAGTCTCTGGCGAAGGCCTGTTCTCATAGATGATACCATCCAGGTGTCCTCGCGTGGTAGGAGAGAAAGAAGGACAAAAGGACCTAGCTACTTCCCTCCAGCCTTCTTATAAGGTCACTAGTCCCATTCTTGAGGGCTCTGCCCTGGTGACTTAATCACCTCCTAAAGGCCCTACCTCATAATACTGTGCATTGGGGATTAAGTTTCAACACAAACTGTGGCAGACATAAACATTCAAACATAGCACTGATACTCTTTGTATGCTATAATATTCTCTCCAACAGAGGGAGTCAGAAGGTAGCAATTTGCTACCAGTAGCTCCAAACACTGATCCTTACAGCAATACCATACTAGAGAAAAAGGCTTGTCAGGATAGCATTGAAGAATCCCACAGGAATACTGTAGTTGGCCCTGTTTCAATCATGTTCCCATCTCCTGAACTGTGTTCAGATGAGGTGAGGTACCAGGCCATATGCTCTGTGGTCAGGATGGGTGTGTAGTCTGTTGCTAGAAGTCAAGAAGGGTGCTAGGTAGATTAAATACTTGAACCCCACAATTTTACATCCATTATCTCATTTTATCCATACTTTACAAGGGAAAAACTAAGGAACATATCAAAGGTCATACAAAAAAGCAAGAGTTTAGCTGCCTATGGAACCCAGATCATCTAACTAAATCTGGTATCCTTTCCAATACTCTAAATCTCTCCTTTAAAATATTTTCTAGAGCAAATAGATCTATTTCATTTGATATCTCCCAACAGGAAACTAGATTAAGTGACTTCTAATGTCACTTAACTCTAACATTCTAAAATAGGTCAACTAATTGGTTTAGTCCAGGCTTTGTGTTATGATCTGGAGTCATTCATTCCCTAATTAATTCATTCGATACACATTTACTGGGTACCTACTACACACTATGTGTCACTGATACTCTTCTCTTGCTGTATTGCTCATCTAGGAGACTTAATACTAAACAAAGTCACTAAACTACATAGCAACTGCCTGACCAAAAATGGAAAAAATTAGTACAATAAATTCATACACACACACACACACACACACACACACACACACACACACAGGGAAATGATAGATCTCATGAAATTGAGAAATTTTTCATGGTATAAAAATCATATAATATGTAACAGTTTCACTACCAATGAGTATAAACCACTAGTTTAAAAAGAAAGTTCATCAGCATCAGACTACAGACACAGCTATAAAGTAAAGGAAGAAAAAAATGCTCTGTAGGGTTTTTTTTTTAGACCTTAAATGTTGTTGCTCAAAAGTTCCTCTATGTTATCATTTTATGATTGCTCCCTATTTTAAAAATATCCATACCATGTATTAAACATCCATCATATCACACCAGACAACTTCAAAGACACAACTGGAAATTACTTTGCTTTTCCAGCTGTACTTTTCTGAGAGAGCTTCTGGTTAGAAAAGATAACACAGCCCAGCTTTGATTCTGGGCCTTTGTTGATGTTGGTGTATTAACGTCACACAGGTTAGAGTTTTCAATCTTTAAGTCATGGGATGTTCCTTGTACATACATCTGGCAAAGGTAAAGGTGAAGAAAAAGGCCTCCTATCCCACTGTCTTTCAGAGCATCTATTTATACAATACTAACACATTTGCCTTAGGTAGAAAACCCAACAAGTCTCACTTTCTTGATTCATCTGCAAAACAGAAATAATATATGCTGTGAGGCATTGAGTATCAATGATTATTTACAGGACTAAACAAGCTCCTTAGAATATACTTGAAATAAAACAAGCACAAGTGCCTTGCCTCTTAAAGAAGTTCCTTTATCAATGAATGTTTTACATATCCAATAACCAAAGCAAGTCAGGAGAGCTCAACAGAATGCTGTCATAACGACCATCTATTCTGGGTCAGAATGCAGTCCTGTGGCTTAGTATCTTGACTTTGTACCCACCACCCACAGCCACCACTGGCATAGCATATTCATAGCAGAGCTCCGAAAAGGAATTTCTCACATTGAAACAAACATCCCCCTACTTAATCAGAGGAAGCCATAGTCAGCACAGCTAGCAGATTCTTTTGCTCCAAAGTCAATTCGGTACACTTTTGTTACCCTAGAACATATTCAGCATGGGGTAGCCATTAAGCGGGAAAGTTCTAAGAAGTCCTTGGTTTTAAAAAGCTTACACTCTTGGTGTGCAGACTGCCTTATCAAAATGAAACAAAAGACCAATCATGCAGTGGAAAGAGATCTGAATTAAGGGTTCTGGTTCCAGGTTTACTATTTATCAGCTTTCATATCAAACACAGCAGTCTTCTCACTGCATTCATTTTCAAACAAGGACCTAGCTAGATGGTCTGTAAACTGCAGTTCCCACATTCTAAAATTCTAATCAACCATCAAAATGCATGGGACAACCTATTATGGCTCAGAAATCATTAAGAGAGGCCGCTGCTGAAGCCCTCCAGAAAGAAAGGTTTCAATTGAATTACATTATGAATCCACAGAGAAAAAGACGCTAGAGGAAAGGGGCAAAGGGGCAGGTAGGTATACAACCAGGCTTTTGGGCTGTAACATAGGTTCCTGAAGGAGACCCTCTGCTAGGACCCTGCCTCAAAGTTCCTAGATACAAGACCCATCTCTCTCATTCAGCTGCCCTCAATGCTGCCTCTTCTCCTTCTATCAGTAGTACTCCTTGGTGCTAGAATTCTGAATCCAGAGGTTTGTGGCTATGAGATTAGCTTGTATTACAGCTAGAATATCCACCACCATCACTTCTCTCAAGAAGATCCTTTAAAGAGTGTCAGCACCCTGTAAGAGTGCAATGAGTAGAACTGGAAAGATGGGGTTTCTGTCCTTTCTCTGGCCCTACCTCAAACTAGTTGTTCAGCTCTGGACCAGCCACTTACTCTTTAGACTTCATTTTCCTCCTCCTCCTTCATTTTCTTCCTTCCTTCTTACTTATATCACTAATTTCATCTGAAGATCTCATGTATCTCTTATACATGAGATAACAGGTATAATTAAACCATAAGGTCTTCTCAAAACATATGGTAGAGTTATTTTCATCCTTGTTATGATTTGTTGAGATAATGAATTAAGAGTTGGTCTTCTACTTCTGGTAATGGCAGGTTAGTTTATAGTAAAACAGCCTCCTGAGAACACAAGGACTCACTAAACACTTTACAACTAGTGTAAAAATCCAAGACTATAAATTCTGTTAATAATAATCACATTAGAACAATATGCCAAACTCAACTGAATTGATGTTTTGATCACCTAAATGGCTAATTTTAAGTAAAACTACATTTTATTTCTATCTATTTACCATTTACTCTGTAAGATACCATGCTAAATAAATAAAAAAACCTCTCAGAAAATTCATGATTCCCATTTCCAAAACTCACTGGCAGTATAAACTGGAATGAGAAGTTCAATTCTGCGCATATAAATGTGACACTTACAAATAGGGGTTTTAGTGACTGGTAAATCAGAGTTGTAGAGCAGCGGCTGTTGTAAATGGTCATGACCATTTCTTGTTTGATAATAACAAGCAGTTTCCATATTTATAATTCTAGAAGCTGATTTCAATGATTAGGAATAGCTTCTTGATTTTCTGCTTTTTACAACTTGAATTTGTTTGGGCAGATGCAGTTTATTCTGAAAGGGAATATAAAACAAATAGGAGAGAATAGTCGTTTTACATACTTTTGCTAAGCTAGGCAAAAAATGAACTTCTAGCATGTCTATAATGAGGTTTTATTTCAGTAAAGAGCTGACAAAAGGACAACATACCAGAAAGGAAATCTAAATGTGAATTGTTTCCTATTACTAAAGTCAGAATTTAGCTTGTAATTTCAGGTTCACTTTGCAAAAGCACCATAACTGACCTATCTGTGTCCTATATGGAGAAAAATACCCTATTATACAAGTGTTCCCTTTACTCTGGAGATTTTTCTCTTTGATAGGCCATGAGGTACTATATACTACATTGAGATTGAGGAAGGCATATGCCGGCATCTCTATCAAGCCTTGGAATAGCAAATGTTTTTCAGGCACCAACTATACTAAAGATGCTGCATTTTTCTAACACCTAAGCTAAATGACTTATTAAACTATTTTGTGTTGTACTAGAGAACAATGGTAGGTAGGCACTGACTTCCACATTTAGAAGTTGCCCCATTGATTATTAGGCTAGATTTGGCTAGCTAGACTTGATTATTTCTTCTTATTACAGAACATATCAAAATTAGGAACAATTTCCTTTCTTGGCTAGATCTTTTGATTCTGAAAGTTTCAGATAAAGAGAGAGAGAACAGCCAAAAGTGTTTAATGTCCCTGTCCAATACAATATTTAACTATTACTCACACTGCTTCCGACCCTTTGCAGAAGATTGGATTCTTCAATGTATCCAAAATTTCTAGGCTTCAAGCTGGTATAGCTGGGTTTTGCTCATAGCCCATAACCAAGCTCTGTGGGAGCAACTGATTGACAGTTCCAAAGAGGATAATTGTTTCCCCAGGGCAGAAATTGTGGCTCAATGGCAACATCCAATCACATCCACTTTCATCATTTACTTCTGTTCTAAAACAAACAGAAACAAGTGAATATAATTTCTAATGAAAACAGACGTTTAACAGGACATTTGTTACACTGTTTTTTGTTTGTTGTTTGTTTTTGCTAAATTAGCTCATCTTCTCAAAAGGGGGCACACAGATGATGGTTTAACTTGCCTAAAAAGAGCAGATAATAGATAGAAGTTGTTCATTCCATCTGCTTCCCCGGAGAATAAAAATAAAAAGCATCTTGTGAAGGTATCAGGAGTCCCAGAGCCCAAGGAGAGGACTGTCCTGAGACTTTATTACTTTTGAGGCTTCAAATGCACCACCACATGCTCTACTGAAAATACTATTTTGCCCATCAGAGAATCGTTCTTGGGGCATATCAAATGCAGTAGCATCCTACACTGTCTGAATTTCCAACTCAGCCTCCCAACTCATTTAAAAGCAAGGGATGACTGAAGAGGAAACTGATATTTTCTTACGGTTAACTACTTTTCTATTTAATATTCTGGACACCATTTCAATATTCTTTGATGTGATGTGATTTGAGAGCAGTAGTGAGAGAAGAATACAGCTATTTCCCAGGTGTTGCCATGGGTTGAGTCCATTTAAGAAACCAGTTGCATATGCCATTCGATGGCCTAAAACTTGTTAAAATAAGGCCATATTTTCTAAGTTATCTTGAGTGACTAGAACAACTTCTAAAGCCCTTTCTTAAGAATCAGGAAATAACACATATGGTTTTTATGAAGCTCTTCAGAATGATAAAATATTAATTCAGAAAGTACCTTCAAATAGAAATAAGGCAAGAATCAGATGAACTGGTTTCTATAACATGTGACTCATTCCAATTTCCTTACAGGCTTCAGCAGGAGCTGCCCAAAGTCTCGTGATCAAGCTTTACTATATCTATAGTGAGATCCTAAAAGGTAGAGTAGTTTCATTTAAAACTAAACTTCATCAGTGAATAGGGAATAAACAAATTACTCTTAAAACAGAACTTTTTCTCTTTGTTCCATGAGGTCATTCTTAATGTAAATTGCCACAAGTTCTAGCTACATCGCTAGTAATAATCTCCATGTTAATTCTATAGCAACTCCAGCTGAATAGGCATTAGTTTCACTCCAGAAAAGAGGGAATTTAGTACCTTTAGTAGTTTATTCGTTGGCAGAAATCAGGTCCAATATTTAGGTACCTACCCTTTTATTATCCAAATTTCAATACTAGGATATGGTCAGCTTCACTTTATCATACCCTTTATGAGAAGAGAATCCATGTCTGTGTTAACTATGATTGTATTCTTCTGCCTAGCACAGTACCTGACATACAGATGGTTCCTCAAAAAGACAAAAGTTTTATTACATACTTTTGCTTATCTGCAAATATCAAAAGTGTACAAATCCTTTTACTTTTCACTCCTCTGGGAACCATTACTTCATGACAGGTGACTTCAAAGTAGATACTGAGATATCCAGATTCAATCCATCTCATTGTAAGTACCTGTTAGAGCTGTATGGTCCTGAGAATATGAAAGAATATAAGATGCCATCTAGTTCAAAAGCCCTTAGACTTAGATAAGTCATTTGTACAACTTGGGAACCAAAAAGATATAAGTGATGAACCTGGTGGGTGATGGAGAATTATATAAGTACTTGGGGGGACTTAGTAATGTATAAATAATCTAAACCCAGGGACAGAGGAACATATAAGACTCAGGGCCTGTTTTGAAATCCCTGAGAAAGTAACTATAAAATGGGTTCTACTAGCATCATCCAGATCTCCTGGAATCTAATCAGCAGGAATTTTCTTTTTTTTTTTTAGATGGAATCTTGCTCTGTCACCCAGGCTGGAGTGCAGTGGAATCTTGCTCTGTCACCCAGGCTGGAGTGCAGTGGTGCGATCTTGGCTCACTGCAAGCTCTGCCTCCCAGGTTCAAGCCGTTCTCCTGCCTCAGCCTCCCAAGTAGCTGGGACTACAGGTGCCCACGACCACACCTGGCTAATTTTTTGTATTTTTAGTAGAGATGGGGTTGCACTGTGTTAGCCAGGATGGTCTTGATCTCCTGACCTTGTGATCCGCCTGCCTTGGCCTCCCAAAGTGATGGAATTACAGGCGTGAGCCACCGCGCCCGGCCGTCAGCAGGAATCTAATCAGCATCCAGATGGGAATTTCTGGTCATTAGTAACCTTTGTATACTGAGAAATGCCCTGAATTACTCGATACTTGGTAGTTTCCTTAGTTGGTGATGAGATGAAGTGCTCTGGGTCTCTGCAACTCTAGGTCTTAATAGCAACTGAAATCCCTGGTCGTAAGTAACCTTAGTTAACTGAATTTTTAACTGCCTTCCTCAAATGGGGTTGTATCTTTTATGCCGCAGAAGTTTAGAAAGTTAAGTATAAGTATATAAAGATTTTTAGGAATAAAATAATTATTTTTCAGGAATCTATTAATTTTTGACATTTTATATATTTGGAACATTTGAGAAACTTTGAGGATCACTGTATTTATAAATGTGATTTATTAAATGTGAAGTTATTTACTATCCAGTGACATTTTAAATAAGACAATTTAAGTTCTTAAAAATAAATACATATATTAAATTTATAAGGACAGTTTAAATGTTTAATTAATTTTGTAAATGAGACTAAACGTTATTCAAAGGCCCTTTGAAATTATTACTAACTTCTGTCTGACTTATACATAAAAAAGAAGAAACTAGAGTTGGAAGCTGTACTGAAAAGCCTAAAGTCGTTTTAAAAAAGTAAAAGCCAGTTTTTAAAATCAAAATTAAACATTATTAAAAGTCTTTTTGTCACATACAAAAATCACCCTGGATAACAGAAAAAGTCTCATATCACTCACTGCCTGTGTCTTTACCATCCTAATATTCAGCCTGCTGATTGGCCGTCCTCGCAGCTAGCCTTAATGCCGAAGGTCATCTAGTGATTTAAAAGGGTAACTGCAGCCGGCTGCGGTGGCTCACGCCTGTAATCCCAGCACTTTGGGAGGTCGAGGCAGGCGGATCATGAGGTCAGGAGATCCAGGCCATCCTGGCTAACACGGTGAAACTCCGTCTCTACTAAAAATACAAAAAATTAGCCGGGCGTGGTGGCGGGTGCCTGTAGTCCCAGCTACTCAGGAGGCTGAGGCAGGAGAATGGCGTAAACCCGGGAGGCGGAGCTTGCAGTGAGCAGAGATCGCGCCATTGCACTCCACCCTGAGCGACAGAGCGAGACTCCGTCTCAAAAATAAAAATAAAAATAAAATAAAAGGGTAACTGCAGGCTCTACAGTTATGCAGGAGGGAAGATTACTAATTTTTTGCTGTCTTTGTTTTCTGTTATTCTTTACAGGAACACACCATAGTGAAAAGCAGAAATTGCCTAACTTAAATTTCAGGAGTTTCAGTGAGTTTCGACTGGTGAAATCTCATCAGATTTCTATGTCCTTGGAAAAGATGGAAAGTAAGAGAAAAGGGTTTTGTAAATTTCTGATACCTGGAAAACTGAATAAAAATGTAAGAAAATGGTGAGATAGTCACTACTGTGCTGTTGTCTCACAGTGTGGCTATCTTATAATGCAGGCCTTCTAGTAACTACACCTTCTTAGCTGCCAAGGGAACCTGGTTATGCTAAATTTCACACCACAATTGGATCATGTTATAGTCATGAAGACAGTCAAGGAGATGAGTAAAATAACTTTATATCATTAGCATTTTGAGATAAAGCTCCCTCATCACCACCCTTCTACTGCTAAATGAGATTGTCCAAAACAAATATTCTCAGATCTTTAATGTGTGTGTGTGTGTGTGTGTGTGTGTTTGTGTGTGTTTATGTGTTTGTGTGTGTGAGAGAGAGAGAGAAAGAGAGAGAGAGAGAGAGAGAGAGACAGAAACTAAATGCATAAATGCAGTTGCTGGGTTTCAGCTGCCTCAAAGAAATACACTGTCTATCCTTGGGAGATGGGAGACCATATACTGCACTCCTACAAATCAAGTCCTTCTTATGTGCAGGAAAAGTAAACAGGCTTTGGTGGTCTTTAGGTTTTATCCATTTAGAAATTCCAGGTGGTTCCTTCCAGGGTTGAGGTATTGGAAGCCTGGGGAGAAGGGGTAGGCTGGGAGTGTAGTTGGTCTCTAGATTCTTGGAGGCCTGGCCCTTATTGCTATAGAGCTCCCTGAGGTGGCAGACTTCTGAGCAGGCTATCCACAATGGCTGTGGGCACTGGCTGGCTTCAGAGCATCCTGCCCTTGGCTGACACTATGGAGCCTGCCTGCAGAGACAAGAGCTGTGGAGAGGCACTTCTGAGAGCTCCCCACCCCCAAGGAGTGAAGTGCCATTTCAGACTTGGTAAAGTGGACAGAAGGGGTCATGGTGACCATAGTGATGACTCAGGACCAGACGTCTGCCCATGTTCCCAGGACCCATTTAAGCCCTGGGAGTCCAAGGCAATACAGTGTTGCAGGGGAGAGGGCACTGGGGGGAGAAAGTTGGGGAAGGAACCCCAACAATGGGTGACATCAAATACCTCACCAGCAAGCAGGGCTCAAAAACTGATTTAAGTAATAAAAAGAAAACAAAATGTTTTATTGAGCCCAGGTTTCATAGAGCAATTCACATACCTACTTGCTTATTAACTTCCTAATGCAAAACAGAAATAAGCAGGTATATGACATTTTGATGTAGCTTTTTTTCTGAAAGGGGGATATTTTTCTACAGTCTAAAACAAACTATTAAGCTTTCTTAGCTCTTGTACACATGACAAGTAACGCAATATTTGCAACAGATATCCTCTCTCACTCCGAGAGCCTTCCTCCATCCGTGAGCCTGCCAGGCACTGTAAGGCAGCACGAGGGCGACCCCCGCGCCTGCTGATGATGCCTGCTGGCTATTAAGAAAAATTTTTGTGTGCCTTTTATATTTAAGACAACACTGTCAAAATGGCCACAATCAAATATCCTATTTTGGAAGAAAGCCCAGTTCTTAAGTGGCCAAACGATGATCTCAGATAAATGAAAAAGCAGAAGAACATAGTTGTCACAGAGGCCAGAGGAGAGAAAAAAGCAGAAGGAAAAAGAATCTCTCAGAAAAGGCTTGTAGAGTAGTCAGTCTCCTGAATCGAAGACCCTTAAAATATCTGTCTAATCCAACTCTTCATGTATTTATCGGGCTTCACAAATTTTATTCTAAAACTAAATAATATTAATGACAATGATTTTTACTCATTCACAAAAAAAAAAAAAAAAAAAGGATTTCAAAGCCATTATCCCAGTCTGAGGAGATTTCATGAGCTTTTTCATTAACCATTCCAGTGTTAAATAACCCTTCTCTTTAATCTGTTTTATTCCTGGTACTGTATTTTAAATCTGGTCTTCTCTTCATTTGTATGTATCATTGTACTTCCAAGTCTAATAACTTGAACACGGCATTTTTGAACTTTAATGTTATTGCCCAGTGTTATTTACTGCCATCTAATTTTTTATCATTAGCAAAGTTGTCAGTAATGAGCTTTTTCTCTTTTCTGGATTTAAATTATTCCAGGCAAGAGTATTTTATTAGTTACTAGATCCATGAAACAACATGCTTCTGATTGCTCTCTTTCAGCCAAATCAATGGTGAACTATTAATGATTCTTAAAGTATCATTTTCAAAAGTATTTTCTTATTATAGAAATATAGCATACTCAATTTTTTACTATGGATATTTTTATACCAAATAAGAACTCTTAAGGAAAAACACAATCCATAATTTCTTTATTATGTTAGAATACTTACGCATAGTTTAATTTGTCAGACTCAGTTTTATTTTTCACAGCTTAAAGACATCTAACTTAAAGACACCTTACTCTAAACTCTTATCTACATGATGGTTTCTAATAGAAATTTCCAAACAGATTAGAGTGCAAATTTTCCAAAGTTTTTACCATGCTGCTTTTCCAAAGTACTATGCAGAAAAATCTTGGTTTCTCAGAAGTTATTCTGGATTTATTCAACATTCATTCAACCATTCCTTTATTTAAGAATTATGTATCACCTCTCTACCATGTGCCAGGTACGACTGTCCTAAGTGCTAGGCTTATATAACCATGGATAAGACAAGGTTCTTGCCCTCAAATAGCTTTCTGTCTCATAGGAAAGATGAGCAAATAAACAGGTAATCACCATATGGGGTTGTTAGTGCCATGATAGTATAAGCAAAGGGAGTTCAAAGGAAGGGCAGCTCAACCAGTTTTTCCCAGAGAAAATTCCATCAGTGGGTGAGTCCTGCGAGCGAGTATTCGCGTGCAAGTGTGCATGTGCAGCTGGGGAGAGGGAAGGCACAAAGGCATTAAGGCAAGGAACAGGAAAAGTTTTCCAGATGGTCAAGGCGCTTAATCTTGACACATAATTGTTTTGTTTATCATTTTGGTTTGAAATCTATCTAGAATTTTATTACAAACAAAGAACAAAAGGAATATTAATCACAATGTAAAGACTTTATAACTCATGGGCCATCATATTGTTGGCATACCCTATGACACAGGGATGCCATTAAGGTCCATTGGGCTTTGCCATATGTGTCCTAAATTGTCCTAAATTGTCCTTCCTTTGAAATCATGTTTTGTTTTTTTTTAAATATGATTCTCTCCTTCTCTAATCTGCTATCAGTGTTTATGCATATAGGAGTCCCTTTTTACCACCACCTCCCCCCAACTCCCACCTTTTTTTGCTTTTAATAGCTGTGGACTTGGGAAATAAATAACCAGGCTTATGAAAACCATGCCTAATATAAGAATACATAAGCTCTGAGTGATATTGGAGGAATTCTGCTGTGCCTGAACCATG